TTAACACACATCTCATTTAACCCATTTAACAACTCCATGAAGTAAGAACTCTTATTATCTGCGTTTTAAAGAAGACGATACTATGGCATAGAATTGTTCAGTTACTTGCCTACCAGGGTGATAGAGCTAAGAAGCACTAGAGTCAGGATAACTAGTGAGCCTAAGTTATTGCTGAGAAGTCGTATTTCTTGACCATTTTTGTTTTTTATTGAGGTATAATCATAGTAAAATGCACAAATCTTAATTCTGTATCTTGATGACATTGCGTGCATGCGTGCGAGCATGAGCATTTGTGAGCGTGCGCACACACACGCACACGAAGTAACCACCCAGATCAAGATTCAGAACATTTCTATCACCCTAGAAGATTCCTTCATGTCCTTTCCAGTCACTGCTCATACCCCCCTCCCCAAGACAAAAGCACTGTCTGACTTCTTTTACCATGGATGATTTTTGCCTGTCTTTGAACTTCACATAAATGGGATTACACGGTTTGCAGGCTTTTGTGTCTGACTTCTTTCCCTTATCATTATATCTATGTGATTCATTCATGTTGTGTGTAGTAGTAATTGGTTATTTTAAAAAATTTTTGTGTAATTTTCCTTTGTTCAAATATATAATTTATTCATCTATCCTCTTAATTGATGGGTATTTAGTCCATCATCTCCCCCTCCCCCCGTGCTTGGCTATTAAGGAGATCTGGTGACACAGTGGCTAAGAGCTTGACTGCTAACTGAAAGGTAAGTGGTTCAAACCCACCACTGCTCTGCGGGAGAAAGATGTGGCAGTCTGCTTCTGTAAAGATTGTTGTTGTTGTTAGGTGCCATCGAGTTGGTTCTGACTCATATCGACCCTGTGTAAAACAGAACAAAACACTGCCTGGTCCTGCGCTATCCTCAGAAGCGTTTTTGTGTTTGAGCCCATTGTTGCAGCCACTGTGTCAATCCAGCTCTTTGAGGGTCTTCCTCTTTTTCGCTGACCCTCTACTTTACCAAGCATGATGTCCTTCTCCAGGGACTGTCCTTCCTGATAACATGTCCAGAGTATGTGAGATGAAGTCTCGCCCTCCTCGCTTCTAAGGAGCATTCTGGCTGTACTTCTTCCAAGACAGGTTTGTTCATTCTTTTGGCAGTCCATGGTATATTCAATATTCTTCGCCAACACCGTAATTCAAAGGCATCGATTCTTCTTCTGTCTTCTTTATTTGTTGTCCAGCTTTTGCATGCATATGAGGCTATTGAAAATACAGTGGTTTGGGTCAGGTGTGCCTTAGTCCTCAAGGTGACATCTTTGCTTTTTAACACCTTAAAGAGGTCTTTTGCAGCAGATTTGCCCAATGCAATATGTTGTTTGATTTCTCGACCGTTGCTTCCATGGGCGTTGATTGTGGATCTAGGTAAAATGAAATCCTTGACAACTTCAGTCTTATCATGTTGTTGCTTATTGGTCCAGTTGTGAGGACTTTTATTTTCTTTATGTTAAGGTGTAGTCTATAGTAGTCTTTGATCTTCGTCAGTGAGTGCTTCAAGTGAGTGATGTACGTAAAGATTACAGCCTTAGAAGCCCTATGGGGCCGTCTGTTCTGTCCTGTAGGGTCACTATGAGCCAGAATCAATCTGACAGCAATGGGTTTGGTTTGTCTATTATAAATAAAACTGCTATGAGCATTTTTGTTTGTGTCTTTTGCTGTACATTTCGACTCATTTCTCTTGTTGTATACTTCGAGGTTGAATTGCAAAGTCATAGAGCAGTTGTACGTTTAGCCTTAGTTGATATTACCAAGGTGATTTTACGAATACATTTTCCCGGCATTGATTTATGAAAGTTCTAGTTGTTCTACTTTCTTGCCAATACTTGGTATTGTCAGCCTTTTCAATGCCTCCATTCAGGAGTGTGTTAATGTGCTGTCTTCCAGAGATTGGCACTGAAAATGTATGATTGTTGGGAATTTTGCGTGTGTTATTTTGTTTTGCCAGATGGTAGTCAGTAGGGGCATCAGGGGTGTAAATGTAGAAGAAAAATTATTTCTTGATTCCCAAATAAAGAAAGTTAGCCCTTTTATCTTGGTTCTAGGAAATTCAAACACAAGTAAGAGATTTGTGTAATAGTGTGTAATGAAAGCAAAGAAACTTGGAACTGAATTAACGTTTTCTAAATGTTTAGAAAGGATAGTCCTATAATCCAGATGCACATATGAGGCTGAGAGAAAAATTATGTAAATTGTGGGGTGATGGGATTACAACTAAGTGTGTTAAATCCAATTTAATCAGTTTTTTCTTGCCCCCCCCAAAAAAAAATGTGGAAAAGAACTTGTATTTTGATATTTCTTCATGAAATAAAAACAAATCCTGTTGACTTTCCTGGCTACCAAGGCCAAGTGGCCCACCCTTCACAGCCTCTGAGTTTATCTGAACCTCCCCTTTGTGGCTCTGGGTGGAAATTTCACACCTTGAGCCATGAAGTTGAAGTGACACCTGCAAGTCCTGAGATCTTGGTATGCTAGGCAACTATTGTGGTCTCACTTTTTGCTAGTGAATACCTAGCAGGAAATGAACTGGAGACATGTTGGTACTTGACCCCAGTGTCAAGGAGGGTGTTTTTGCTTTCCAGTGCAGGGGGAGCAGGAAGGAAAAGGGTGGGGATGGTGTGGGCAGCCCAGGGCAGTGGGCCTAAGACTTAACTGTATGTCAGGATCACCTGGGGAGTTGGTTGAAATCCAGGTTCTCAGGCCCAGCCCAGAGGTTCAGGTCCAGTAGGGTGGGGTTGGGCTGGGAATCTCTATTTTAAAGGAATGCCTGATTCTAAAGCAGGGGGTCCAGGTACAGCACTTGGAGTGTCACTCAAAGGTCCAGGGAATTGAGAGTTCTGCACTGGATGGTAGCTTCGTAGACTTTTTTATTTCAAAGTTGTTAAAACTTTGTGCTTGGCTGTTTGAAAGGTTGAAGGGCAGAATCAATACACTGTGCCCCCAGGCCACGGGGTCAGCTCTGTGGAGCCGCAGCCTCCGGCACAGTCTGCAGGCACCCAGTAATTCTGGCACGCTGAATGGCAGATGGTGGGAAATGGGCAGTTGGATCTGAGAGTGAGAATTTTTGGAAAGAGGAGGGCCCTGGCAGGTGCTGGTGGAGAGAATAGTTACTTCATCTTCTGAGTCATCTTTGTGTTATGGTGCCAGAGCCCGTTGTGGCCTTCACAGGAATAACAGCCCTCTTGGGAATCAGTGCACCTCTCCCCGCCTGTCTCTCATCCTCAATGCACTCACCTGTCCACCTGCCCCCCGCCCCCCCCACCTACCTACCTACCTTTGTTTTTCTCAAGAGGCAAGTCCCATCCCATCTCTCATTTTACCTGTAAAACGCTGAAGCTCAGAAAAGCTATCTCACTGGTCCAAGGCTAATTAGGACACAGCCAGTTAGTAGTAATCAATCAATCTCTCTCTCTCTCTCTCTCTCTCTCTCTCACACACACACACACACACACACACACACACACACATTTGTTCACATCCTCATACATTCACACCCTGCCCCAATGTGGATATCCCTAATCCCCCTGCACTTACATGTGTACATCTTTGAAAACTATTTCTTAGGTGATGCTGAGGGGTGATCAGTGAAAAGAAGCCAGTGTGATTTTTAAAATACAATAAACATATTAAGTCTAGCATACTCATTAGAACTGTGTACTTAAGCCAGGAGCAGTGACTGATTATTAGGGGTCAGAATTAACAGGAGTGGGTGTCCGTAGGGCCCAGGCTTGTGCTGCTCAGGGTGTTGTCAAGCTGTGTCAATACTGTGTTGCTCTCTGATCATTAACGGTACTTGTGGACTTAGAAGGTAATTGGACTTTAGATTTGGCTCACTGGACCTCTTCCTCCTTTTTGGACTTTCTCAGATTTTAAAGATGTACGTTTAAACCAGCAATTCTTAACTTTTTGAGGGTTGCAGTTCTCTTTGAGAATCTGATGGGCAGTTTGCATTGTTTCTACAGAAAAATGCATAAACATTTAGGGCGTGGGGGAGGTGGTTTATGGCCTTTCTGAGGTCCAGCTCAGGACCCTGCTTTAATGAGCACAGAGGACTTATAGCCTTCTTTCAAGGTCATTTTATGGCACAAGCCTCTGTCTCCTGTGGAATGTCATCTGTAATGGGAACTTGGCAGATATTTAATATTGTGTGTATGCTTTCTGGAGGGTTTGCATTCATTTTTAACTAGCAAGCAGATTTCAGTCAGAGAGTGAAAAGAGTTAATGCAGGTAAAGCACTTAGCACCAAACATGGTAAGTATTCATTTAAAAAATATATAGATAAGTATATATATGTGTACATATATGTAATACACACACACACACACTCTTAATCTTAATTACAAAGCCAGTTACCTCCATCATACTCTTCCATGTCAAAAGCAGTTTGTGAGCATTGATCTAGATATTAGGAGATAGGGATCCCTCCAGTTTGAATGTTTTCCTCTCTTTTTATCTTCAAAAAATTTTTTTTATTGAGGTGAAATTCACATAACATAAAATTAACTATTTTAAAGTGAACAATTCAGTAGCATTTAGTGCATTCACAAAGTTGTGCAACCACCAACTCTACCTAGTTCCAAAGCCCTCTTTTTATCTTGAGTTCAACAATTCCATTCACTTCGATAAATATCTATTGCACTTCTCCTGTCAGTAGAGCACCCTGTTAAGCATTTTGGGGAATAGAAATGAATAAGATTTCGAGGAGTGAACAGGATCTAAAGGAATCACACGCATCTGTCTCCCATAACTGTAGAGTAGGGTGATACCTTAGTGAGAGGGATTTGGTGAAGTGGTTTGGTTTTCTCAGACTTGAGGGTGCCTTAGAGAAGCTGAGTGTTGTGTCTCTCCTTGTGTTGTTAACCCCAGCAACCTCTCACTCTGTTGAGTGGATGTTTCTTTTAAGGTTCACCTTTGCCAGTATCTGTCTACCTATGGCACTGAGTTCGCATCCATGCTCCTTCTCTCTCTACAGGCCAGGGGTTATCACCATGCAGGCATTGTCGGAAGAGGACCGGAGGCTCTGGATGGAAGCCATGGATGGCCGGGAACCTGTAAGTAACAATTCAGGGAAGTAGAGCAAGAAAAAAGGTCCTGAGTTGTTTGTTGCTTCCTTAGTGAAATGATTTTTTTCGCTGTTGCTCTAAAGCCTTGGGTTCTCAAGACCAGTGTACTACAGGTAGTTTTATCTTCCTATGTTGATATTTGTGGCTATTTATATTTGCTTCCAGTTGGATATGGCTCCTGAGCTTTGGCCTCTGAGTCCTAAGGCATGGGTTCTGCATGATAAAACCAGCAAACCAGTTACTGCTGAGTTGACTCCAACTCATGGTGACCCCGTATATGTCAGAGTAGAACTGTGCTCCATAGCGTTTTCAGTGGCTGATTTTTCAGAAGTATATTGCCAGGCTTTTCATCTGAGGCACCGCTGGGTGCCAACCTTTCGGATAGCAGCCAAGCACTTTAACTGTTTACAGCACCCAGGGACTGCATTCTGCATGGTACTACCCTAGAATTTCCCCCTTTGTCAAGGCGGTTGTATCACCCTGGGTCCCAAGAAGAGGCAGAGTCCAGTCCGATTTTCTGAATATTTTTATTGGCCATATGATGGCTCCATGAATTAGGGTGCAAAACATGATCTCAATCCCATTTTAATAAGATAAATGATCATAAAAGTATATAGGTTATGCAACATCTTTTATCATGTCCTTCTGGTTTAGCTTCCTATCACTATAGTAACTTACAGCCCATAATAAGTAGTGGGGCATTATCAGGGTATATGAAAAGAGTTAAGCCTGGTCCTGTGATCCTTGGCCCCATTTTAAGCTGCTGGCCTCTGATACAATCTTCTTAGGGTTTTTCTGCATCTAGGTGACATGTCAAACCCATATAAGTGCCCTGGGGAAGTCAGTAAAGTCAAAGTAGTCCTGTTGTCTTGGTGCCAAGGAGATAGACTCCACTGTTGAGCAAATCTCAAGGTTACAGACATCCTGACAGTACACTCTAACTGTGTCTCACCAATAAAAGATAAAAAAGAAACCAGAATGTCAGAGGGCCAGTTAATAACACTTGCAAAGGCACTGTCCAAAGAGGGAAAGTATGCAGAAGGGAAAGCAGGCCAAAACCTCTATTGACTACAGAACTCTGTGTGGCAAGCTGGGTGTTCAGGATAGATGATTCCAGTTCATTTCTGTGTCTGTTTCTCAACCTACCCTTGTGAGGTGATCTGGCAATATTGATTAATGTACTTCCCTACTCAGCTCTTTTTTCTTTTTCCTATTAACATACAATACAATTCAGTCAGCTGAGTATAAACAAATAGTGAATCCTGGTGGCACAACGGTTAAGTGCTTGGCTGCTAACTGAAAGGTCAGCGATTCAAACCTTCCCAGCGACTTCACAGTAGAAAGACCTGGCCATCTACTTCCATAAAGATTACAGCCAAGAAAACCTTATGGGGCAGTTCTGCTCTGTCAAATGGGGTCACTATGAGTCTGAATCAACTTAACTGCACCCAACAACAAGGGTTTACACAACACTTAATAATATCACATAAAGTGAGATTTAAAGGGATATTTAAAGATTTAGCACACAGTCATATTCTAGGGTAAAAGAAAGTTACATGTCTTTATGGTAGTGATGGATGTTTAATGGAGGAAGAAATTGGAGTTGTGTTCCTACAGTGAGACACTGTGGATTTTTTCTAACGTAGTGAATTTGAGCTCTTTTAATTCAAATGAAGGAAGCCCAGTTCAGACTTGCTTAGAAGAGAGCTGGAATTATTGGCTTGTATAACTGAAAAACCCCGGGGTATAGTAGGTTCCAGGGCAGGGGTAGAATTTTTGCCTTCTGTGTGAGAGACTCGAGTTCAATTCTTGGCCAGTGCACCTCAAGTGCAGCCACCACCCATCTATCAGTGGAGGCTGTGATGCTGAACAAGTTTCAGTGAAGCTTCCAGACTAAGACGGACTAGAAAAAAAGGCTTGGCCATCAACTTTAAAAAATTAGCCAGTGAAAAACCTATGGATCACAACGGTCTGATCCCGTTGTGAATGGGATTGTCCTATGTCGGGGACCAGCTTGATACAGCTAACAGCAACAACAGTAGTAGCTTCAGGCCCATCTGAATCTGGAAGCTTAAATAATATTTAGAGTTGATTTCTTCTTTTGTGTTGGCTTCATTTTTTAACAGGTTCTTTCCATATAGTGGTGAGATGTTCACTAACTGCCCCAGACTTATCAAGAACAAGGGTCAGCACACTTTTTCTGTAAAGGGCCTGGTAGCAAATATTTTACGCTTTGTGGGCCATGTGGTCTCTGTTGCACGTATTCAACTTTGTCATTGTTGTTTAAAAGCAGCCATGGACAATATGTAAGTGAATAAATGTGGGTGTTTTTTAATAAAACTTTATTTACAAAAAGAAGCAGCAGCCCAGATATGGCTCATGGGCCATAGTTTGTTGACCCCTGATCTAGAAGTCTAGTGGAAAGAGAGCTTTAGTGTAATACTTCTAAAGAAATCCCATACTTCAATTTTGTTGGACTAAATAGTTGGACAAGAGTGAATTACCCAGACCTGGCTCACATGCCCACTGTGCTAGAACTGCATGAATGCTGGGGAAAGATTGAGTTCTCCTGGAGGGAAATCAAAGCCTCCTTATATGGCGAAGGGGAGTAGACAGTAGGTGGCAAAAATAACATAGGTTCTCCATACTCTGAGATCTATGTTCCATTAAATTTTGTATTTAGAAAGCTTGCTCTTTGATGCTTGGCCAAAAGTTAAGTAACAACAGCTTTACAGCTAACATCATACTTATTGCTGAAAGACTGAATGCTTTCCTCTCAGACTGGGAACAAGGCAAGGATGTTCACTCTCATCACTCTTATTCAACAGAGTACTGGAAGTCCTGCCAGTGCAGTAGGGCAAGAAAATAAAATAAAAACCATACAGATGGAAAAGATTTGCAGAGGATATGATTGCCTATGTAGAAAAGCCCAAGGAATACACACACACACACAACCTCCTAGAATTAATAAGTTTAACAGGGTCAAAGACTACAGTAAGGTCACAGGACACAAGATTAACACACAAAAACATCAGTCATGTTTCTAAATACTTACTGCAAACACATGGTGACTAAAATTAAAAACGTAATACCATTTGCAGTTGTCCCCCTCCCCCATGGAGTTCATACAGATCTAATTAAACATATACAGAACCTGTATACTGAGAATTACAAAACACTGATGAAAGAAATCAAGCAAGATCTAATAAATCAAGAGATGTAAAATAGTAAAGATGTCAGTCCTCCCCAATTTGATCTATAGGTTTAATGCAATTCCTATTAAAATCCCAGAATGACTTTTTGTACATACAGACAAGCCTATTCTAAAATTTATATGGAAAGGCAAAGGAGCTAGAATAGCTAAAACAATTTTGAAAAAGAACAGTAAAGTGGAAGGAGTCACTCTCTGAATTTTAAAACTTCCTTTATAGCTAATCAAGCTACAGTATTAACAGAGAGGTAGACACATGCATCAATGAAACAGAATAAAGAATCCAGAATAGGCCCACACAAATACACCCAGTTGGTTTTTGACAAAGGTGCAAAAACTATTCATTGGAGGAAAGATGGATAGTCTTTTTAACATATGGTGCTAGAACAATGTACATCCATAGGCAGAAAAGGAACCTCAGTTTAAACTTCACATCTTATACAAAAATGAATTAAAAATAGATCATAGATTTGAATGTGAAATGTAAAACCATACAACTTTTAGAAGAACACCTGAGAGAAAATCCGTGGGGCCCAGAGCTGCTAGATGGAGAGTTTTAGACGAGACACCAAACTCATGATCCATAAAATAAAAAAGGGATTAATTGTTCTTCGTCAAAAATAGAAACTTTTGCTCTGCTACAGACCCTGTTAAGAGGATGAAAAGATAAGCTACAGGATAGAAGAAGATATTTGCAAAGCCTATGTCTGACAAGGGATTGCACCTAGGATATATAAAGAACTCTCAAAACTCAGCAGTTTAAAAACGAACAATCCAATTAGAAAATGGGTAAAAGAAATGAAGAGACATCTCACCAAAGAGGATAAACAGATGACAAACACATGAAAAGATATTCAACACCATTAGCCATTACGAAAATGCAAGCTAAAACCATAATGAAATATCATTACACACCTATCAGAATGGCTAAAATAAAAAAGTGATGGTAATTCCAAATTAACCAGGGTGAAGAGAAACTGGATCTCTTATACACTGCTGGTGGGAATATGAAATAAGACAGCCACTCAGGAAAATCTCTTGGCAGTTTCTAATAAAACTAAACCTGTACTTAACCATATGACCCAGCAATCGTTCTTGGGCAGTTATCCCAGAGAAATGAAAACTTACGTTCATACAAAAATTTACAGAACAGTGTTTGAAGCAGCTTTATTCATAATAGGCCCAAACTGTAAACAACCCAAGTCTTCTTCAGCGGATAAATGGTTAAGATACTGTGGTACATCCATACAATGAAATACTGCTCAGCAATAAAAATAAACGAACTATTGAGGCACTCAACAACTGGATGGATCTCAGGGACATTATGCTGAGGGAAAAAAACCAGTCTCAAATGGTTGCATAATACATGCTTTCATTTTTATAGCATTGTTGACAAAGTTATAGAAATGGAAGATAGCTTAGTAGTTGCCAGGGGATGGGTCAGTCGGGGTGGGGTGGGGGGATGCGACTGTAAAGAGGTAACGTAAGGAAGTTCCTTTGTGGTGATGGGACAGATGTATCTTGATTGTGGTGTTGATTATATGTATGAATCTATACATGGAGTATAATTGTATAGAGATATGTGCACAAACGCACACAAATGAGTGCCTGTAAAAACTGTTGAAACCTGAAGAAGGTCTGTAGTCTAGTTAGCAGTATAGTGCGATGACAGGTTTCTGGTTTTGATACTATATTGTAGTTAGAAAAGATAGCATCATTGAGGGAGGCTGGGTAAAGGGCCCATAGGACCCTCTCTACCTTTTTTGCAATTTCCTGT